ACGAGAACGCGAGTACGTGCTCGCGTTCTCGTCAAGTCCGATCTTCCTGCGTTCTCGCCAAGAACGGACTTGACGAGAACGCGAGTACGTACTCGCGTTCTCGTGAATTGAGAAACGCCCACAGTATCCCACGGCTGGAAATGCTTGTGACACAAAGCAGCGGGCGTCAACACATCCGCAGCGACATCTGCTGGACTGGAAGTTGTATTCCACTTGGCTTGGCTGATGTGCGCCAACCATTCATGTATTTTATTTGTTGGTTTTTTAAAATTAAGAAACGATACTTGGCGTCAAGAATCGATGCAGTAGATCACTAAAATTAGAATCGCGACGCATCGTCATGACGATTATTTTGCACACCCCTATTTAGAACTGGGCTGATGTTCTCCACTTTCTCAGTTCTAGTGAGGACGCAGGCATCTTTCCATCAGTTGGATCAGCTGCAGCCGCCTGATCCACTTTCTATGCAGAGCTGTGAGGCGGCGCTGCAGGGATCAATTCTATTAAAGATGAAATCGTCTTTTAGGGCCTGACAGAGAATCAAACCTTTAAAGTGTTAATAACGTGATGTTGATTTCCTGTAACTTAGCATCAAAATCCTGCAGCAGGACATACTGATGGTTCCACATCAGAGGCCTATTTCATAGCTAGCAAAGACCCATCTCCATGTGGTGACATCAGAGGGACACCAGCATTTTATAATGGAGATGAATGGAAACATTGATGATTGTTCCAGAACATCTAGTCTGTTTTTATTTTTTTGAGTTTTTACGGCACTAGTGGCAGTTTTTTTTTTAGACAGTAGGCCGACAGGAGGGGGGGGAACGAGAGAGGGGGAGAGACATGTGAGAAAGGACCAGGATTCTGGTCCGGGTCGCCTGCGTCCAGGACTAAGGCCTCCATGCATGGGTCGTGTGCGCCACCAAAGCGCCACCAAAGCACCCCCCCCTAGTCTGATTTTTTTGGAGTCAAACTAATATGATGGCTAATATGAGCGCAGCACCGGTAAAAAAACAAAAAACACGACAGAGAGAAATGGCGTGCTACGCCTCTGGTACAGATAGCATTACCAGTTATTAGTTTATAAATATAAATTGGTATATATTAGTACCGTATTTTCACGACTATAAGGCGCACTTAAACGTCTTTT